GCGTGCGGAATGAGCAGACGCACCGGCCTCTGTGCTGGGTGGTTGCAGCCCGAGCTGTCTCGTCACCAATGCCCCTGGAAGTGAGCATACCAACCCTTGATGATAGCAGTGAACGTCAGCTTCCTATGACGTCATTAAGTTATGTATCTCACTCCTGCGTTTCGCCGCCATTTCCTACCTATGTGCCTGCGTTTCTCCACCATTCGCATGACGCTAAAACAAATGTGCAGCTTGAACTGACTGAGCCCGTCCTTCTGCTCGGTTAAACATGGCGCAGGATATACAATATTTAGTTCGGATGTTTCCATTGGGTGGATTTCTGGGATTTTGTTTGTTGCGTAGTCCTTGAACCCACCACGTCATTGCGGAACCCCAGATCAAGGGCATTATTTTGTGACAAAGATTCAACGTGCCGCAATGACCGGAACGACCCGTTCTTCCTTCTAACACCGCCTGATCTCCAGCGTGAACGCTGCCACCGGCTGTAAGCCACCCCAGTGTCACTGATTCGCCCGATTCACGCGACAGCGAGTCTGTCATTAACTAAGGGAACTTTTCACTTGGTTTGACCACGATTCTTAACAGTTGTGTCATAATCATGCGTCAGCGTGCATGTTCAAAGCATTGCTTAGTTAACTGTTAACATTGCCAGTGCAACCGTGTTGATATTGAATCACCTTTGCACGATTCTTATCAGGCCTCAATAATTTTGAGACCTGAATCATCGCTGGAATCGTAGACACTATTTAGTTGGTGAATATAATCATTTTTTGATTCAAGCTATTTCGTTCTTCCGATTCTGTTTGTAATTCTGAATCATGAAAAGAAGAAGTGAATCAGGGATGGACTAACTTGATTTCGGCGTATGTGTAAGAAGATACCGTTGCAGGGATCCGAATACGACATGCATCCGTCTAGCCAGCCCAGAAGCGTCTAAATGCATCTAACTGTCAAACGTATAGCAACGTAAAATGGTGCAGGGTGAAGCCTGAATTCTAACCCGATAGACACTGGGTGAAGGTCTAAGGTACTTGTTTGTGCAAGTTGTGCAGGAGATGAGTAAATCAGTCAGTCGCAATCTCAGCCTAAGATCTGCATGCATGCGTCACATGATCACAGATGCTGCAAACATGACAGGTTTGCTGCGTGCGTAAAATGACGTGTGAATGAATGAGTGAATAAAATGGGTGACATTCACAGCCGCATTACATTTTGCGTAAGTTTAAATACCGAATATCAAGTGAGTTTTGTGAACATTGTGAGAGAGACATGCGCGCTGTAGAACATCTTGGCACTAAGGATTTTTATTTAGGCTTTGCCGGGTGTTCCAGCTAGTGAGTTACAAACAGCTGAGGGTCCAGTTCTTCATGCTCGCAAATCACTAACATAAGGTAACCTATGACAACGCGGGAAGCTATCTAACACGTGGAACATGGGCAGACGGGCCCTTAGCTCCTTGCACGAAGCGAACTTTTTTGTGAGACTAGCATCATTTGCCATTGATCTCACATAAACATAACAATACAAATGTTGCCATGAGGCTGTGCAAGAACATTATTGTGAATAAACACTAGTTATGTAGAGACTCAAATACACGTTCAGTCTTGTTTTGTGAAGAGTTTGACTTTCTAACACAATGATTTGTTTCATAGATGCATGTTAAGACAGTCGCTCTGCCTTCTATCAATGCTGTGTGCATTTCAAATGAGTTTAAGCGCATGGCTGCGTAAGACCATGGGCGGATCCAGGCAGGAGGGGGGGGGGGGCATAGAGTAATCCGAACATGGACTCCCCAGGATGGTCCAACCTCTGGCAAAGACTGGCGCATGTCTTGACTTTGATGCAAATCTGAGCAACGTGTACGGCCAAAGCTTTTTTGTGGTGAAAGAGAACGAAATCGGGTAGTTTTTTCAAAATCAAGGTTTTTGAGTTTGACTCATTTTCAAGCTGCCGTTTCCCAAAGATGAAGTTCTGGTTCCACGGCCAACTGCTCTATCACAAGACTTTGGCCGATTTTACCCCGTAAAGAATTTTTGTTTCGAAACGAATATTGGGGGCTTAGTTTGAATAAAAATGACCGACCCAATTTAATTTGTTCTTAAGAGGAATATCATTTGCACAGACCACAAGTTTGCTACCAAGGAAAATTTCCTACAATTGGTGACCTCATTGCATTTAAACTACTTGAAATGTAGTTACCGCGACTTATCATTCACATATGTAAAACAGAAGTATTAGCCTTATTTATCGGAGAATGACCAGGAGAATAAAGTTATCGTTGGGCTGATATTCTGGCAACTGGCAACATCCCCTTATCCAAACGAAGGCCAAAGTGAATTCAAAATTGTCTGCCAAAAATCCTACTCGATTTCTCTACAATCCTACTACAAAATAATCCTGCTCGATTTCTCAGCTTTTTTGAAACAGGAAGCCACTGTTTTTCAGGACACCAATATTCAGGGGATTAGACAAAACGAGTGCCGGCCATTGCCACGATACAGTGCCTACCTAAGAATTAGAATACGCGAATATACGTGTACATGCAAACTAATTCAAGAAAAGAGGCATCACGCTTCATGCAAGCATGCAAGCCAGTTGAAGTAAACAGGCATCACACATCGAGGACCAATTATGCATGCACGTGATTTCATTTGAGCAGACATCGCATATCACGCGTCAGGTACCACTTGCACATGTAAACGGTTTTAAGCCAGCACACACCACACATAAAGGCAGATATCACGCTTGCATAATCAGCCATGATGGGCCCGTATGTTAACATCTGGTCGCCGACTTTTTATAAGAATATATTCACTTATTGTCCTGTCTAGGTAGTCCTGTGCTTTGTAGATGACTTTGAGCTCCAAAAGGGGCATAGGGTACATACTTTCCTCGATTTCAGCCTGAGCGTGTTTTGCCAAAAAATGGTCACCGAAAGGGGACATCTTTTTGTTTCTAACGTCTGAAAAAAAGACAATCATCGGAAGCAGTCTTGAATTCACTTCTGCTATTGTTTCGATAAAGGCATGTTGCCGAAATAGCAACCCAGTTATACCCCCTTTCTCCTAGTTTTTGTCCAAGGAATAAGGCTAATAACACTGTCTTATCTATGTGAACATGTTCTTCGCTAATGCACTGAACAACTTACGCCCACTCATTCAATAGATCACCATTCCAGCGCTGTTCTCCGTAAGTTTCACAGCACAGTTCCACGTTTCACGACCGCATTTGGAGAAAGGGCACTGCGGGACGCATTCCCCTGTCTCTGCCATCCGAGTCATCTGTTCTTAGAGGCCATCCAGGGCGTGTGCTAAGAAATATGCTCATATTTGTGGTCCCCTACACTAGCTACTTACCCCACGGATCTAATCCGCCTTGTCGCAGCGAGACAGGTCCCGGTGGCGTACAGCTTCTGACATTGAGTACATCGCTGGAGTCGCAGTGAGGCAAGTCCCGGTAGCATATAACTTCTGACATTGAGTACATCGCTGGAGCCGCAGCGAGGCAGGTCTGGGTAGCGTACAGCTTCTGACATTCAGTACATCGCTGGAGTCGCAGCGAGGCAGGTCCCGGTAGCGTACAGCTTCTGATATTGAGTACGTCACTGGAAATTTCTCCCTTCATTCTCCACACGTCCAACAACAGTCACATCACAGAGCGCAGCGGCCTGATACGCCATCAAATACCATGAGCTGTACCTAGAGATTGGCTCTATGCACATCCGTCCCGAATCCTGGACATATGCTTTTAGGGCAAATACGTTCCTTGTTGCTGTCTTCCATTACAAATCAAGACGCCATAATTCCTTAGCAAGTTGGGCGAAGAGTCATGCCAAATATGACACGATCTCTCATGCTCCGACCATCACTAAGAGGGCAAAGCAAATCTAGGCTTTTAGACAAAAGTTACCAGGCTATATGTGATCGAGTTTTTTTGTTTTTCAAGTCAGGTGCTTCCTGCCGGCCCGTGCCGCCAGCCATGCGTGCGAGACATGCTAAATGCCGTCGCGTTCTGTCAACGGGGGTTACAGGGCAATTTGGCGAGCCTGTACTTGCACGCAATGAGCTTGCTTGATTTTCTAAGGGCATTTATAAATACATTTTGATCTCACATTCTGACTCGGTGGACAAGGAAGGAATATCGCTTTTTCAAAACTGGGCTATGGGCTTTGATGCAACAGAAACATTGGAATGGACGCATGTTGAACTTTTTACGAGAACCTTATGCTCGTAGACGAACACTAAGGTCTTTATTCTTATTTCATTACATACATGTCTCCGAACAATGCATCATTCATTCAGTCGCTTCTAGCCATGATTTATGAAGCTGATATAATTTGGTGCGTTGCTAAGCGACTATCAAACCATTGAAAGCCCACCACTTGTTCTGAACTCAAGTTACTTACTTGCTGAGAAACGTAATTTTTATGTCCTCTGCTACCATAGAACTTCGTAATTGGGCCGGTATGTATTTTAATTTTTCTACGAACACGCTATTGCAGACATGTGCGGGTAAACTTTTCCGCGTTGTATGAACAGTTATAATTACATTTATGCGAAAATTCAGGAATTTATTTTGAATGACATAGCTCTCATTCCTGCCAACCAAAATGATCCATCTACCATAGACGACCTAAGCAACAGAAGCAGTAGTGACAGCCTTTTCCACTTCGTAATACACACGTCAGCGAGTCAAAAGACGAACGGGTCTCCTGGCCCTCACCTGTGAATGATTCTCATCGCACGTCAAGTGCAAAATATTTAACTCAACCAACGAAGATAAACTAAAAATGATGGCATCAAGCGCCATCGCCGGGGATATTCTCGAGATTAAACTTCAGATTGGCTCCCGCCGCACGGATAGCGGGACCATCAGCTGGTGAGCTCGGCCCGAAATGCCAACTGTTCCAGCCTGGCGGGACGGACGAGCCTGGGGGCACCGGGCGGCAGCCAATCTCGACCGCGCCCTGTCCCGACGGACGACACGCCACCTCCCCGGAGCACGCCTGTGTTCTCGCCGACTGCCGAGCGGCCACGCGGCCCACACGCTGCAGAGCGCGAGGCGATCCTCGGCCCGGTGTGAGCGGGAAGCGATGAGATGCACACCTGCTGGTGTGGTAACGCGAAATTTGCGTAATTTGCATACGAAATTTCGCTCACATGCGCTGGCGCGTGAGCGCACAAATATGCTAGCACACACGCGCGCACGAACACGCACGCACAAGTGTATGCACGAGGGCACACGCAAAACGCAACTCCATGCTTACGCATACACAGATGTGCGATCACGCCCACGCACACCCACGTACAGATGTGCGATCAGCCCCACGCACACGTAATGTACACTGCTAGTGTACATGTGTACATTGCACATGTGTAATGTAATGTAGTAGTCCGCTGCAACATGCATCATAATGTATATACATACACATGCTCTCGAGCGAGCACTTGCATCATCCCACAAAAAACAGCGCAATGCGCGTTTATCAACCGGTCACATTGCTGAAGGATGCACCACGTAAATTAAGCGACTGTGATGACAAAGCACTCACATGGAGCTCATCTTAAGGCATCGCCGACGTTAAAGGAAAATGTCATTTAGGCGATGAATGATGCGATATGCAAAGCAGAATTTCGTTGCGAATTATGTCGGCGTCTCCCTGCCCGGCTCTTGTGGCCCGAGAGGCGTTATATCAATGAAGCTTCAGTCCTTAATCGCGTCGGGCCATTTTGCGAATTGCACTGAATCGGAAGCAATATGCATATTTAATAACCCACGTATATTTACGTACCGTAGCCTGTGGGCGCGACATTCCTGCACATCGATCCGCCTCACACATTAAATTGGAGGCAGTCGCTCGTGGTGGTCGCACAGATCAATCTCAGATTATTCTCGGAACAAGTTAATAAGACTCTTTAAGATGGGTGAAAGTGGTCTAATATGCAAAGCCAGTCGTCTCAAAATAAGAAGCCAAACTAAATGAATGCACGGTAAAAAACGGACTACGTCAATGATCAGGACCACATGACTAGAAAACGCGGTCAGGGACAGATCAACACATGATTAAGCACCGCACGTTCAGATAAATCCCACAAGGATACAACTTGGAACGAGTTTGAAAAATCCGCGGCGGTCCCCGCAGGCATTCAATACTGCAGCAACCATCGCTCTGGCATTCAATACTGCGACAACCATCGCTCTGGCATCGGGACGGCGAAAACGAACGCTATTTTCACGTTTGGTGTTTCAAAACACTGGGCAAGCTATCACCGTTTTAAAATGCATCATTTACGGCAGCGCGTGGATTGACATTTTGATAACATGGATTTTACGAAAGTCGACTCAAAACGCACAATGTTTTCGAGCATGCGCAACAAACTCTATACGTGGCTAGGAGAAACCGCCCAACTTTTACGCGACCAATTTATGCAAGGAATCAGCCCACTTTTGTTTCAAAGCGGCTTAAGTTGGAGAGAAGATGGTACCTGAGCCCCTAAATCGATATAAGTAATCACACCCCAGGGGACAGCTTTTAGGACGAAACGCGACGCCAAAACTGGGTGCGAAAGGCAAGAAAGCTGGTTTACAGACACGGCATCACAGATAGCGCCAAATAAATGCTGACCAGTTATGTTGAGTCACCGACACGAGCATCCCGAAGCGTTAGAGGAAAATTACGCGAATCGTATGCTCACAATAAAATAAATTAGTCCAGAAAAACGAAATCGCTTTTCGTACGTTTTTCTGGCATTCATCATTTCGCCAAAAATATAAGGCTATCTTTATTTTCCTCGAGATTCATCATCATCTGGCTCATTCAAGTTGCGCTACCTAATAATTGTTTCCTAAATGCAACATATCATGCACAGTTTTATAAGACAACACAGGCATCTTCCGCACACACAACATTGCAGCAGCTGTCACAAACCACAAGTCCTTAAACAATTAACACTTAAGGTTGATGCTGTCTGAATTATTCACCTCGCCGTCCCCGGTAAACTGTCTGCAGAAAACCACGCTCCCTTATTCGGGCACACTGCATGAGAAGCAACAACATCAACCGACCAACATCACATAGGGATGTCCGTTTAGCGAATAACTACAGCTAATCCGTTCAAGATAAATGAGCTGCCTCGACATCGTGAAGTAAAACGATCGCAGTGCTATAATGCTCGACATCCGGCCGCCTCAGAGTTTCTATGACTGGGGAGTGAAACAGCACTCTTTCAGACCAGCACTCCTACACTCATCCCACGTTAACACCACGTCACGTAGCGTCCATCCCTCCTCCGCAGGTAGCGGAGATTCGGGGGCGATGCACTGCCACGCTCGAGCTCGGCAGCTTGAGGACGGACAACACCACCGCGGCGTACATGGTAATGTCCTGTCCATGCAGATGTACTGGACGCTCACCACCGTCCAATCACTCAAGCTGGCGACGCGCGAGGCGATGCGGGCGCGCGCCGCGCGCAGCTACGCGCTTCGCCCACGCATGGGTGCTGCACGCGAGTGCGGCGCGTGCTACACGTGAGTGCGGCGTGTCAAGCGGGTGCGGGCTGTGCCGCGAGCGCGGCTGGACGCAGCCTCGCCGCTCCGGTACAGGCCGGGTCCCCACATCTCCATTCCATCATAGCGCGACGCCGACTTGCCTGCAGCGGAAGGACACGGGTCGCGTCAGGCCCCGATCGCTGGGGACAGAGCGACCTCCATGCTCGACAATCTAGGCAGGCCGCTTGTTCAGGCGAATGTCTTGGCCAGGAAGCTTTGCCTCTATATCTGAGATCGATAGAGCCGCCAGTGGTTCAAAAGCTAACTGGATCATAAACCCGGCTTGAAACATCGAGCATTGCCAGTGAGACGAATGTTCGAA